TAATGTAATACCAAATTGTTCAATAAAGACCGAGGCCAGGCCTCACTCTTAAAAAAAAAAAAAAAAAAAAAAAAAAACTAATTAGCTATTATTGATTTTCCAATTAAAGATCAGTTATGCATCTATATACTAATTATGACATAAACCTTATCTATATTAATTTGGTCACTGCATCTCATGTCCTAGACTGCACTTCACATTCAACTAATTAGAACCTGACATGAGCTAAACACTTAGGACTTTGTCCTGAAGTTTAACTCTGTAATCCAACTTAATCTTTATACTTATTTATTATATAATTATTATTAGAATATTAATATTATTATACTTATATGTGCAATTTTTTTTTTTTTGCTAATCTAAGAAATCTGATAGATCATCCTCTAAAGAAACATATTCTGCTCCATCCTATTCTTCATTATTCAATTATTCATTATCCATCTGATTCTTTAGAATCTCATCCAATTCACTTGAACTTTCAGATTTATCTAGATTAAATCTCATTTTTTTAACTCAATTCCTTGTTATTGGATCCTTTAGCCTGATCTTATCAACTTTTTTAATATAGAACTGATTACATTTACCAATCCTTATTACCTTATAGGGATCAACTCATCAATAGTCCAATTTTCAGAAACAGATTTCTAGAGTGGAATCATAAACTAAAACCAGGTCATCAACCTTAATTGGATCTCTTGCCTTGGCCCAATGATCATAAAATTCCTTTCAGTGCCATTTCATTTCATCACAGTTTGTTCATGTATTGTCCAAATTACTTGCTAAACCTTTTATTTATTAAGTGTAATACTTGAGTAACTTATCAGTTGTTCATTGCTGTCTTGATACATATATATAATAACTTTTCATAACTAATTTGATTGGCATTATAGCATCTTTTTCAAATACCAAATAAAAAGAAGAATAATCCAAATCTCCTACAGTTATGTTTATTACCCAAATGGCACTACATACATACTTATGTCACTGATTTTGTTACTTAGCACACAGTTTTTAGATAATTCTAGTAAACTTTTGTATAACATATTCAGCATGATCATTAGCTTTCAGATAGTAACTAGCAACAAAATACTGATCTACATTCAACTAAGAAGTAGTTCCTTCATTATTTTATTTCTGAACTCAGTTTCTCTATCAGATACTAGAGTAGTAAAACAGCCATAATGCAGAATTATATCCTTTCAAATGAAGTAAACAATATTTTTTGCATTCTTTTTAATCAAGCCTCTTTCTTCGACATATACAGTCAAATCCTCAATTGCCAAAACCACATGTTTATGTTTAGTTATTGTTCAGGTCAAAGGTCTGACACAATCAATGTACACCCTTTCAAAAATCCAACTTGTGGCAATCACATGTATCAGTCATACGTATCAGTTCAGATGACAATTTTGAAGCACATTTTTGATACTTTTTACAGCTTAACACTATTTTTTAGACATTTTCATACATATTTTCTGTTTCCTACATGTACTTTAATTTTATCAAGCTTAGTGTCTGATTAATTCCTCTATGTTCACTTTCATTCACTAGTTCTTCATGATATGCTTTCACAATCTCATATTTATCATACTCTTCTAAGATTAGTCACTTATGTGGTGCACCTTTTTTTGATCTTATGTACAGATTATTTCTAATTAGACAATAACATTTTAACTTTCTCTTAAGATGAGACAGATCACATGCCTTCACATGAGACCCTTAGGTTATTTGTTGCAAATATTGTTTTATTAAAGTTAGATCACCAATCTTTCATTCATCAAGACTTACACAATACAATTGATCTTCAATAAATTCATCATCAGTCACAACTTTTTGAAGTAATGATCAGGATAATGTAACATTCTATCTGCAGTTTCATACTTTTTACCTAACTTATATTAAACTTAAAACTCAAAACTTTGTAAAAGCAAATCTATCTCATCAATCTGTCCTTTAACTCTACTTTATTGAATAATCATTCTAGAGCCTGATGATCTACCCAAATGTCAAACACAGTTTTACCAATGTACATAATATCTGAATACTATTGCCAAGTACTCCTTTTTAGTAATTGTGTAATGCAATTCATGCTCATTCAACTTTCTTGAATCAAATGACATTGGTCTTAAATATTTCTCTTTATCTATTTGTTCTAGCACAACTTCTATATAATAATTACAAGCATTTGTATACATTTGATATAGTCTTCACCCAAACTTGGCAGCTTGCCAATCAGAGGTTTTCAGAACAACTTTGTTAGCTAACCTTTCTTTAAAAACTTGAATGCTTTATTTTCTATAGATTACTATTAGAACTCAGTATTATACTTAGTTAAATCAGTCAGTGGCTTCATTATTTTACTAAAATTTTTAACAAATCATCGATAATAATTCAGTACACTATGGAATGATCTTACTTCTAATATATTACAAAGGGTTTTCCATTTATGAATCTTTTCAACCTTTTTCAGATTTATTTTAATTTTTTTTTTATTTACTATGTACTTATATGTTTTAAGTTCATTATACAAAATGAAATACTTTTTTGCTGCAAAAGTCAAATCTGCTCTTTTAAAGACTCTAGCTAATTCAATAAATGTTTTTAAATATTTTTTTATACTTCCATTTATCCAAACACCAACGTTGTTTTGATATGCAACAGCTATGTTTCTCCATCTTTCATTATCCAGCAGCTTGTCTATTAATTTTTGAAAGGTTTTGCTTGCATTCTTTAGGCCTATACATATAGCTATATATTATAATATGCCAAGTGAGATGGCTATAACCACTTTGTTATAATCTTTTTCTCTTATTCCTATTTGCCAGTATTTCTTGAATGCATCAACTAATGAATACCAATCATAGCTGGCTGCTTGTTCTAGTATGTTTCAGATAATTGACAATGGATAACTGTCCTTAATTATATGCTTGTTAAAGAGTTTTATGTTATCAATGACCTTTATTTTGTCAGTTCTAACCTCTTTCTTTTGCATAGAAAAACAATGATAAGCATATTCATCTGTCCTTTTTTCCAGTAGGCAACATTTGATCAACTGTTTTAGATGATCTTTAAACATCTTTTTTATTTCAAGATTATTTATTCTTATTGGTTATAATCATATCAATGACTCTATTGCATCACTAGTTCTAACCTCATACTTCACAAGATTCATTTTACCTATGTCTTTTAACTCATATGCAAATATATCAGACACTTCATTTATTAATTGTTCAATAATAATACTTTTAATAAGCTTATTTTAAATTATAGGTTCAAGGTTAAAAAGCAGGCTATTTTTCATTTTTCAACCTTAACACAACAAGTATGTTTTTTTCATCTATAGTGCTATTAACTCTTTTATCATCTTGCTTCCAATAATTTATCCAACTACAAAATACCAACCTTCCAAGACTTTCATATTCTATGTGCTTGATTTTATACAATGTTACATTATCCTTATTTTTCATTTTGCTCAGGACATTTAATGTCCAATTGTCATTGGTTCCTTTATCTAAATTAATTTTAACCATTCTTCTTACAGCTATTATATCATCTACTTTTATTTTCATAACTACTCTTATTAATGCTTTCAATATTATCATTATATTCACTAATTTGGGCATTTCTTATCTAACTTTTAGGCACTATTAATACTACAAAAAAGGCAGATCTTATAGAAAAAAAGATGGTGCACTAATATTTAGTTTCTTTAAAAACTAAAATGTATTGTGCTCTAGTATTCTATAATATATTCAACAGAACATCGAAGCTGGCTGTTTCTATTATATAGAAGTTTTGATATACCACAATACTTTTTATATCCACTTTCATATTAAATATATAACCTATGAATTGACTAATCCTATTGTCAGCCATTTGACCTCTTTCACTTGTCTTTTTCTATTCCAATTCTTTTTTTTCAGTATACTTCTTCAATATTAAGTTTATGTGAAATCCTAGGGCAATTGGAACCTTTACCAAGTTACTATTGATTTTTACTGTTCATATAGGAACAACTTCATTTTGCCTTTGTTGATTATTTTGCATTATATCTCACATAATCCTTATTCTTATATATTGATCATCATTATCCTTTCTTTATTAGGTTAAATTCTTCATTCTTTTAAAGCATGCTTTAGGGAACCACTTGAATAACTGTCCAAGGGTAAGTGTTATTTCTATGTTCAATAATTTCTTTAACAGATCATGCTCATCAGAAGGTCAGCAAAGGGTATATACATTATGTTTTTATATAATCTTGACTCATTTTCACATATAGTTTCCTCAACCTTTCATTTTTTCTTATTAGTTGCATTGCTTTACTAATATTGTCTTTTCTTTTTTTTTTTTTACCAAATGATCTTACATTGCAACAACCATCCCTATTCAATAATTTTACCTTTAGATTATTTATCACTAGTCATAGGATCCTTCTCTGAAATTTTACAAGATGTGCATCAGCATTATCAAATGTTATGCCTCTTTTAGCTTGGCCATTATTCTTATTTTAGTTTGGATAATTCTACATAAGTGACCCTTTTGATTATATAGGTAACATGTATAGGACTTAATAGATTTTTGTAAAACTTGTCTTTTACTCATATCTTTTATAGTTTTTGTTACTATATTTTGAATCATATTCTTAATATTGAACTAATTTAACTTTTCTTCTTGTTCTAAACAATTGATACTTAATGTTGCAAGTCTATTTACAATACTATCAAGGTTTACATTAAATTTGTTTTGTTGAAAATTTTCTTCAGATATATTTAAGGCTTTGTGTTCATTAAGTGTCTTATCTTTATTGTACTTCTCTATTTCTAATACCTTTTTTTTGCTTTTTCATAATTCTTTAGACAGCAATTCTCTATTTTGGATTTATACAGTTTCCTTAGACCCTTGATGTACCAATCACATTTTTTATCAGTCCTGAGTTGGTTCTTTATGGCTTGAGCAGATGTCTTGTAACAGTTGGTATATTCTTTTACTAACTCTCTTTTTTTTTGTTTAAGATGTTTTAACTGGTTGATTTTGACTTCAGTTGCATTTTCAGCTTTTATCTTTTCTATAATAGTTTTCTTTAGGTCCAATCAACTCTTTTTGGTTTGTATCAGGTCTCAAATCTACATTTTTATACTTTCTGGCATATGTAAGTGCACTATTAAACATAGAGTGTTTTCATCTTACCTTTTGACTTTGTTATAGTCTTCAAGATCAAAGAGAAAGTTCTCAATGTCATCTACTTCAGCATCATAGTTAACAGATACAATTTGGTCTTTGCTTTCCATCATTATAATTTTACTTTCCTTTTCTTACTGACTTTCTTTTCTCTATACTATTACCTTTTTCTAAACTCATATACACCAATTACACTCTCTTTTGAATACTCTTATATGACTTTTTAAATATATTCTTTTCATACACAATAGTGTATGAAATACCAGTTTAGGTGTGTATGATCAGTCTTATATATATATATATATTTATTTTTTTATTCTTTTGTATTACTATTCAAAGTCTTTACTTTCTCCTTTTTGTATTACACTTTTCATCTATTATGTTCTTTATGACTTCACCAAATTTGTTCATTATAGCTTTACTAATACCTTTGTTGCAGCTTTACTGATTTCTTTATTGTGGCTTTTTCAATTTCTTTGTTGCCATTTTTTTAATTCCTTTATTGCAAATGATAGTGGCTTGTCTAGGTTCTTTGTTTTATGAAAATTAATTAATATCATATTAATACTAAATTCTTGCCCAAACATTCTGATTATGTCATTGCATACTCACTATACTTTTATATTAGTGTTTGTATTTGCTCCAGAGCTGATGCTTTACTACATTACCTTCCTTCTACTTTAAGGTCTTATAGCAATAATGTTTCTACTACAGATAAATTTATTTAAGCATAAACTGAAGTAAAGGTTCAATTTACCTAATTGATCCTCTTATTTATTTAATTTCATTAGGTAAAATTACATCATTGATTACTACTAATTAGCTTTATTAATTTTCTAATTAAAGATCAGTTATGCATCTATATACTAATTATAACATAGACCATATCTATATTAATTTGATCACTGCACTTCATGTATAACCAATTAGAACCTGACATTATTGCAGTTCTCTATTTTTGTTAATAGCATAAAAAGATTTTGTTCTACATAACCTATTGTAATGTAAAAAATGCTTTTATATACTAAAATTTTCACTATATATTATATATCGATACAAAATTTTTGTTAACTAAAAATTCTAAATAGCAGATGAATTTATATAACCATTCTGAAAGCAAACCATTTATAATTATGCAAGTATATTATAAAAGTTAACTACATTAATATAAATCTTTTAAATAAATACATACTTAATACATTAATTAAAAATAAATGTTTTTATTAAATTAACATTTACTTTTTTTTTGTCAAGATAGCTTAAACTTTATTTTTGACCAAACTAAATAAGTGTATATAAAAATATTAAAGCTAAATATGTTATAAAATATAAAACACCATAATTGTAAATTTTTTATAATATAATTAAAGTTTTATAAGATGAAATAAATAAGATAGTAATATACTATAAGTTTTAATACTATAAGTAATATGATATATCAATAGCATAATTGTAATAGTTTTATAAATAACAAATATATAATTAAGCTTTAAATAATATATAAAAAGATATATAGATTAAAGTGATATTTACAAAAAACTAGATATATATTATTAATATATATTTAATAGTTTTTTACTTTTTGCTATTATAGAATCAATAACTATTAAGTTAGAAACTGAAGTTTACAAAAGATACTATTAAAATAAAAGCAAATAATAAGGTAAAAAGAAGTCTAATATAATAAACTTAAAAAATTATTATACTTATCAATTAATAAATCAAATGCTATATTGGTCTATATACTAAATTATAATGATTAAATATATTGCTTTTAGTACTTAGAACTATTTTATGCTTCTTATATTAAATCTGGTTTTAATTAAATTTAAAATAAGAAAAATAAAACTGATTTTGAACTTTAATTGCTTTGATAGCATTTTTAACAAGTTGTCAAAATATATTAACATTATTATTAATTAGAATTCATACAATATTACATAAATTTTCTAAGAATTTAATTTTTTAAATTAATATATACATTTTTCTTGTAGGTTTTATTATATACTATCTCTTCTATAGATCATTACTATTAGATTTTAGCAATAAAAACCTCAAATAACAAGTTTAAAAAGATTATTGTATCTCTTATTCCTTAAATATTATTAGCATTATAGAAACTAAAATAGCAGAAAACAATACTATTACCAAACTTCACAATTCAAAATACTTCTCTGACTTTTGGTCTTGTACTAACAGTTCCAAAGCAGAAACTGCACTTATGATTTAAAAACAACTTACATCTTATATATACAATATTCTTACTTTTTCTGACTATGCTATTGCTATTAATCTCTTCTTTAATATGATTGCAAATTTCAAATAATATCTATATATCTATCATGTGAAAATTCACAACTCAGACTTTAAATACAAAATACTATTATTCAATAGAATCAACAAGCAACTAACTGAAACATTTTACCTATAATACTAGGTAACTTCAATATGCTATCTAACAACTTCATTTCTTCATCTATTAAATACAAATTACTGTAATTTTTACAATAAATAATATCTACAACTTGGCAGATCATACAAATACTCTTTCTTATACCTGGCATAGTAGTAAACATCACAGTACTATTGACTACATCTGGGTCTACCTTCTTTTACTTAAATATCTCAACTTATTTTACTTAAATGATGCAGAAAACTGCATTCAAAATGATCACAAAATTCTTATATTTTCTTGAACTTTCCCTTATGTCTTTATTGGCAAAAACAGATATTTAATCCAAATTTAATAAAGAATCTTCAATTACAAAGCAATAAACAAAAAGTAATAGGAAATCTTTGTATACCAAGTTACTCATAACCTTAATACAAACAAAACTCCTATCTCAATTCAAACTCCTAAATCACTAGAAACTACATAGCACAAAATCCAAACTAGTATTATTAATGCAGCTACTAAATGTATTTCTAACAAAAAATCTATTATTCATAATTTCTAATACTCATTTTTTGCTAAATCTACCTTATTTCATCAAAGTCTCAAAAAACTAAACAGTATAATTAAACAAGTAAAATCTTCTTTAGCCAACATAACAACAATACTTATACACCTTAATTCTTCAATCTTATATCTTAATCAACTTACCAACTTAATATAAATCCTATATCTAATCTTTATAAACTTATACCAAACTAGATTACTAATACTAATACTGAATGGTAAGCTCTTTATTATATTTGAAACATAGAAAACATCAAGCAGATCTGAGAACAAATAAACCAACATATTACTAATCAATATTCTAAACTTCAAACTAATTCCAAAGCAATGATTAATAGTATACTTAACTGTCACAAAGATTCTATAAAAATCAACAATATTAAAATACCAAATGACATTATAACAGATTCTAAACTTATTAAAAAATAAATTAAACAACATTTTGATAGCTGGATTGCTTACAGACCTATTGACAATCATGAATTTAACTCTAACTAATCAAAGAAATACAAACTCAAAACCACAACTAAATCATACTATTACAATTTAGCTCTTGCTAAATTTTTAATAAATAAAATTTTTATAACTTTTAATCAGCTATCTAATAATAAGGTATGCAGTTCATTTGGAATTAGCTATGAAATACTAAAACAGGCTGGCTCTGCCTTTCTTCAAACAATAACTGCTCTTTTTAACTGATGCATTCAAACCAACCATATATCCAAGCAATGAAAAGAAGATCACATCTTTCTAATATCAAAAAAACCTATCTTTGATAAAAACTTATCTAATATAAGACCTATTAGCCTAGTTAAACATATTAAAAAACTATATACTAAACTTCTCACTAATTATCTTAATCTAATATTTACTTAACATCCTATCTTATCTTCTATAACTACATTATCCTATCTGGCAATAGTGTCTTTATCTCTATATATATACTCAACAATATTATTGAGGATGCCAGTTGCAATAACAAACAACTCTGGCTTTTGTTTCAGAATATGAGCAAAGCATATAATTCTGTAAACTTTGAGTTTTTTACTAAGTTCCTTAAACATATATTAATGCCTCAACTCCTTATTAATATACTTATTAATCTTCTTACTAATCATCAAAACCTTGTTATATCCAACCTTGGACTTATTGTCTTTATTTATTAAAAATGGTATAGATTAAGGAAAAACTATAACTCTTTTATTTTAGAGAATCTACTATAACCCCTTAATCAATAGAATAGTATCACAATTTTCAGAATACTTTTTGTCTACATTCTGGAAAACCAACTTATACTTACTCCAAACTCAATACTTAAAAACATCTGTATCAGTTCTAGTCTATATAGATGATACTCTTTGGATTGCAAAATCCAAAGATAAACTTAACTAATAACCAAAACTGCTACTTTCTTCTACTATATGGTTAATATCCAAATTAATCCAACTAAGTCTATTCTAGCTACAAATTCTTCTATCGCCTCTTTGTGGTTCTCCAAATTACTAATTTACCTATTTCTAAAAACCAACTATTCAAGTTTCTTGAATATTGGTTTACATTCAACAACAAATATTCTCAAATTATCAAACTGATAAAAAAAGAGGCTTTTAGCCTCATTAACATAGCTAATACAAAGAAAATTACTAACAAACAAATTACTTATATTATCAACACAATTATTATTCTAACTTTAGAATATAATCTTTATAACATAATCCTTCCTTGCACTGTATCCAACCAAATCTTATACAAATACCTTATTGTAACTAAATACAAATCTCATTTTTTTAGATCTATATCAAACAGTACAATGCTTAATCCATTTTTATACAATATATATAATATCTAGGATATTCAACTTCAAAACCATATCTCTAACTATCTTCAATAAATTAACAATCCTAATCTTCTTAGTATTATAATTTGAA